GGCTATCAACGGTACCCTAACTCCGCAGCAGGATGTTACACGGACGGTTTCGTATATATAGCAGCGTGGAAGAAGCCAGGCTAACGTGGCAGAGTATTTCTGCAATCTCGCGGAAGATTTCCGTGATGGCATACACCGGGCATAGAGCATCGTGGCAGCCTAAGCCCGAGATATCAATAAATAACCTATCGGGCAATATTATCTCAACGGTTTTATGCCCCACGGAACGGGGAATGCGATCCAGTTCCTATGTCCTATCCAGTCCCGGCTGGTCCTTTCCTTTAACCCAGGCGCAACATAACCGGCCGGAGTGGAGGTGTGAATGATCCGCCTACCATAAAGCAAAGTGCATCTAGCTTCCAAAGCGTGCTCTCTCGCGAACGTGAATATTCTAGGGATCCTTTTCTCGTCTTCCGGCTCGCTCCGGTCTTTCGTTTCTCTTTCTCGCGATATCGCGCTTCGATTCCTCGGCGATTCAGGAATTTAGCGTCTCGTTACGTAGCTCCGATTTATTCTTCGCAAAGTCATTAGAATATCTCGGATGAAATCTGATTGTGCAAAATCTATTATACTGCCTTGTCGGTTTTGTTATTTTAATATTAAATAATACTGATTTTTTTTCGTGAAATTCCTAACGAGCAAGTATTTTTGACGTCCAACGCATCCTGTTTTAGTATTAAAATAAAATACAAAGTCGATTCTCCTTTCTGAACCGTCAGACTTTATTGCGCAAACCTTATTTATTATATTTCCAGCATCTCATTTTTATATTTCACTCTCAATAACGAATTGAATGCTCAATTGAACTGTGACGTGTACAAACAACGTGTGCCGATGTTAAAAACACAGCCGATATCGGCCAGCTCAGTCCGGTATATCGAGTCGCTCGAGAGCCGCGAACACGCCCGCGCCAGCTAATAAATTGTAATTGGCCGATTACGGTCTCTCTCTCTCTCTCTCTCTCTCTCTCTCCCGAGCCGCATAGTGCACACGATGTGTGTAGAGCAAATGCCATTAGTGTGAACTTTCGATGGAAATGGGATACGGTTCTCTCAACAGCGGCGTCACGGGTGGGTGGGTGCGCGCGTCCGTGTGTAGGTCACAGCTCGTGGGTGCATGGCGAACGAGGTGCGGGTCTCGTCGCATACCAGGGATCTCCCCCGTCGATCGAAGCCGATCCTTTCAAACGTACGTTCACCTCTCCGCGAAATCCGATTTCCGACGAATTCGCGGCGTGCGATTGGAATTTTCCACATCAAAAGCGTTCGCAATGATTGAATTGCACGCATTTTGTGTAAAAATGTATACATGACTGTTTGAATTGAATGTATAAAAAATTGAATCAGAGAAAGTTTATTATTAATGCAGCGTGATTATTGATAGGTATTTATTTTTGCTTAAATTTATTGAATATTGTGGGGAAAAATATTACTGATGATGACATAATTACTATGCAAAGATATTGATTATCTATAATTAAAAAATTTTTTTAAAGAATTAAATTAATTTTGGAAAAAATGTATACATGATTGTTTGGATTGAATGTGTAAAAATTAGATGAGAAAATTTATTATTAATGCAGCGTAATATTGATATCTATTTCTGCTTAAATTTATCGAAGAAATATTATATAGGGAGAAAATATTACCGATGATGACAATTATTATGCAAAGATATTGATTATCTATAGTAATGTTATTAACTCTACGTGAATAGCGATCAGCTGCACAGATTGCTAATTAAATGAAATGTCTTGCATATATTACAAGTTTAGATATAACTGGAGATCATATAAAAAGATAAGTCATAATTTAAAAATCGCTTCTACCTCTCTCTCTCTCTCTATCGAATAGACCGCGTTTGCAAAATTATGATCGGTACTACGTTGAGGAAAAATAGTGCGATTGGATAACGCACACATTGGCGACACTCCATCATCGCCGATAGTGCGTAAAGTGTGCGTAAGCAATTGTCTCGATTGTTGGCTACCGCGAAACGGTGGTATTAATCGGCGAGCAAGGTAGGCAGATAGATAGGTAGATAGACAGATTTATTCTATCCTTGGATAAATCCCCTACGGACAATCGGAGATTATATGTGAAGTAAAACATAACTTACAACTCAATATATACACATAGCGCTAGGATTTATATACGTTAAGGCTATACGAGTGCGACGCGATAACGCGTTCTTCGAATAAGCGTGACGAAAGTGAGACATTCATTGGAATGATTCACGATTATCGGGTCATTACATAAGCGATAAACGAAACGACGAATAATTTTCAACATATCTCGAGACACATACAAAGCCGAGAAGCAGACGAGAAGAAGATGAGACATCGAAGCTAGAAGACGCCGGCTGGCTGAAAAACGCGGCTAGGAAAAAGCAGAAGGGACGGATGGGGAAAAGGGCTCGGCGTGGCGCGGCGCTGGTACAAAATAAAGGATTCTCTTTTCGTTTTACGGCCATTTATTATTAATTAGCGCGGTAGAAGGCAAGCCGCGCCGCGGGGATCCGCACCTCTCCTGCCGGGTTACGGTGAAGTTAATGGGTCTTTTTTGCGCTCCTCTCCTTCTCTCTTCTCGCCACCGATATACTCCCTCTCGGTCCCTTTTGCGCCGGCGGTCGCGTTGCGAAAGCACCACCGCGCCTCCGCTATGCAAGAGCATGTGTCTTTGCACCTGGGCGTGGATCGGTCGCGACACCGATGCCCGTTCTTTCCGTTCGCGTGGGTGTTCCGAGATACGATAATGCTCGATCATCTCGCGCGCGCAGCCGTGGCCGAGCTGGTCCAGCTTTACAAGCTACTCGATTCGCAAACACCTGCGACGGAGATGTCAACGTGCATGTGCGCGCAGGCGAGAAATCGCGAAATTAATAGTCGCGCTTTCTGCAAAATAGTCTATCGATTATAATGTATAACGCAACGGCGAAAAAATGTATACCTGCGACGGAGATGTCAACGTGCATGTGCGCGCAGGCGAGAAATCACGAAATTAATAGTCGCGCTTTCTGTAAAATAGTCTATCGATTATAATGTATAACGCAACGGCGAAAACATGTATTTTATCATCTTTTGTTATAAATTGTTGATTATTTCGTTTTACATATTGTTATAAGAATAACAATGTTAAAGAAGCCGAATTTATGTTACAAAATTATACAGCCGCGATGTAAGATCTCGGAACTTTCACGTTTGAAAAATGATACTTAGCGCCTTATAATTTCGCGCCATGCAAATTGCGCAACCGAGTCTCGAGTACCAAGTCGCGTGAGAAAACCAAGTCTCCGCCGAGGAGAGAACGAGCAGACACCTTCGTCGGTGCATGCCGCGGTTTGTTTGCTCCCAGTCGTGTAACTCGTTCGGCGGGACGAGAAAGAGAGAGAAGAAGAAGAAGGGCAGAAAAGAGAAGGACGCAGGTTTCGATGATCGGCGAACGGCTGTGTCGGTCGTCGTCGAAGCAGCGGGGAGAGGCAAATGGGTTTCGTCGTGTCCCAGGGCGACGTGGCCGCGATTAATGACGAAGCGCGAAAGCACCACGGGAGATTAACGGAGACCTGGAATGACAGAAAATGGGAGGACGCGCGAGAAATCGGGCGAAGAGGTGATATAATGGCGCGCATTAGATTCGACAAATGTCCTAATCACGGGCTTAGAACCTCGAGTACATCCTCGATCGTTAGTCTACGCAACTGGAGTAAAATTAACGTCCTTCGACTCGCGACACGCCAACAACCTGTCACGTGTAACGCGTTGTGTAACGACTGACAAGACGCCGTGAGACCCGTTTCTGGACGCGTTTCACGCTCGCCTTCCTCCTCACCGTCGTATCCTCTTTTTTAGACTCGCCAGCTTTCGGTCCAATGGCCGACGACACGCTGTGGTCCATTAATCTCTCATCGATGGAACTGACGCGATCGCACCTACTAGAGAGAGAGAGAGAGAGAGAGAGAGCCTCCCGCGGCAAGTGTATCGATCTCTGGCGAATTGCTCTATTGTCCGGGTCCATTTTTTCGATCGTGTCGATTCGTTCTGCGCGGATTCTTCAAATGTACCTCTGCTACTTTTCATCAAAAAGTGTTAATTAAATATCGATTTTTTTTTCTCAACCGTAAGATGGAGATAAATAATTTTAGTTGGGAATGAGATGCAAATTGTGATCCGGCTGAAGGAAAATTGAAGACCTATTATCGAAAATTTGAAAATGATTGATTGATAATAGATTGCTGTTTGATTCGGATGGGTATTTCGAGACCATCAACGAGCGAATCTCTCACGATTCTTCTCGCGTCGAAAATGCTAGTCGCGAACGAGCAATTTTGTTTCCCTTTCCACGACCGGCAGCGGCAAAGCGGCGTTATATGTATATATATATATATACCATATAAGCGTCCTTATTTACGGCGTGTTCGTCTAATTAGATAATGGCGTCGATATTTTATATTCGTGCGTTCGCATGAAGCGATCGCGACCTTCGCCGCAAATCGTTTGCGGCTGCAAACGCGCGCGGTAAATCGACTCGGCGTGTTAATAACACGTGCTCGCGCGTAATCGAGTTAGGGGTACTCGCTTAAGGGAAATTAAGAGTCGGTCTCTCGACTCGAGCCTATTCCTCGTACAGGGACAACAGCGGTAATCGGAATATTAAATGACCGATTAATCAGAGCGCGCGATACGGCGAGGAGATGCGCTATCTCTTACGTATACATATGTATGTATGTATGTATGTATATGTATCATCCTACGTGCGTGTCTGCGTATTCTATTTAGGATCGTCGCGAAATTGAATACCTGGCGGGCGAGCTGCTTGACGAGTTGCGCAATCGAGGAATAACGATCGTTCCTGAGATTTACCGCGAGGAAAAATCTCCTCGGGCGATACGGAGGGAATTATCTATCATTCGGGTTAAATGTTACGTCCGGAGACTTCGACTTATTTCCCAAGAGAGGAGGCAGTGGGCTTTCATGTCGATGATCGCTCGCGGACGCCGTATCATTACTCTTCATACGGGATCCCGGCGACGTCCGACAGCGAAAGCTCCGTTACGGGGTAACGTCTAGTTCGCTTAACTCGCGAGATCGACGAGCCTATCGTGCACCACGTGCAGAATTCTCTGGCCTAACAATAACATTCGTAACTGTCCATTGTAGTAATGGCAAATGAATCAAACTTTCTGAGATAATAGCGATAAGCAATTTCGAGATAATTCGCGTTATGCGCAAAATGACTCGACTTGTCAAGTCTCGTGCTAGATGAATATTAATAACTCGTGATATTTCTCCAACTTGTCATTCTTATTTTCAAATAATATTGAAATCAAATTAAAATATGTTGAATAGTGCAGCGAAATAATATACATGTAATGATAAATAATATACTTTTTTATTTAATCTATATTTATATCGATAATAATTTGAGATTCTCTTGTGTAATAATTCAAATTTGCTGTACTATTTATCATATTTTAATTTTTTTACTCAATTATTACGTACAAAGAATTGTACACTGAAAAAAATTATGAAGTTAATAAATTATTTATTTCAATACTGCCTTTATAAATTATTTATTTGAAACAAATAAATAATTGATATAAGGCAGTATTGAAATAAATACTCATTCACAAATTCTAAAAATTTTCTTTTCAGCGTATGATATAAATTTATCTTATCTGTCACATGAAAATGTATGCAATCTGAAATTGAAAAAATAAATTGTCATCACGTGCGATAGAAGTCAACTCGATTCAACGCGCGTGTCAGAGCCTATCTATGGATTTCGCGGGCTCGCATTACCTTGTCGCAGCTTGCGTATATGTGTGCGTGTGTATATTATGCATGATAGATATTCCGAAAAGGATATGTTTCCTCGCGGGCGTGGGTGGCAGCGTAATCCTACCGCTTTTCAGTGCGACCAGGTAGTTAAAGGCCGGCTAGCTGTACAGTTAGACATGACGCAATTGCAACGGCAGTCGGAGCAGCGCTTGGGGCCCAATTACCCGGTTACTTCCGGTTCGTACCGAACGTCGGGGGCGTTGACGGTGGATTAAAAGCCGCGGAAAAGGCGCGAGAAAATTACTGGACGTCCGATCGCGCAAGCAAAATCGCGCGCGGCAACGATTTCTCTCTTCTCTTTCGCCTTTTAATCCGCGACAATCGCATAAATAGCAGCGTGAGCGGAACAGGAATCTCTCGCAACGCCCTGTGTGATTCTCGTACCTCGTGCGGTCATCCTGATTAATATCACGTGAGCCTTATCTCTTCTTTATCCCGAGTAACGGAGATGATGTTCGAAACGCTATCACTTGCGGTCGCGCGCGATCGTTTAGATATATTGCCATGTATGTTCTCTTCCCGCAAACACTGTTGAGAACTTGGAAAACTTTGGAAATACAGTGTTCTGTCTCGATATAAATATTAGCTCGAACTAATCGTGTTTACGAGTTTGTTCCTTTTTCAAACGATGTTGTCTTATTTTTCTCGTAAAACGTGAATCTACATTGTTTCGTTAAGAAATGTTAAGGAAATTCCCAATTATATTAAGATTAATAATAATTTGACTTTCTTTGGACATTAAAATATTTCAAATTTCCTGTACTATTCATTACATTTTAATTTTGATAAATATATATATATATATATATATATATAATTAACGTTTTTATATTTCATCATACGATATACTTTCATATGTTATCTCATACGAAAAATTATGCCAAGTGAAAACGATATGAATTCTAAAAAAATAGTTAATGCATCCACGATACTACCACATATCGACCTCGCTTAACGTCCGATTCATTGACCGAGATGCCAAAATCAATCAATCATCGGCCACGCTCGAGCGCGGCTTTAACCTTGAGTCAGTCAATCTCGTGCGTCGAGCGTGGAGAAAAAGAAAGAGATTTCCCTTACCTGATTGATGTCGCTGCCCAAATCCCGCGCGCTCTTGGCACCTCTCAACAGCTGATCGCCGCGGTACTCCCGATACCTCATCGTCACCTCGTCGTCGGTCAGGGCGCCGCTGCTGCCGCTCCTCGAGCTCTTCTTCCCTTTCTCCTCCTTGGCCTTCTTCTCCTTCTTGCTGAACAGCTGCTTGACCTTGCTCATGGTGCCGCTCTTCTTCGCCACCTTCTTCTCGTACTTCTTGTCGGCGGCGCCGGTGGGCGGCTTCGCGGTGACCAGCGGCGGCTTCGACGACTCGTTTACGTATTTCTCGTACTCGTGCCGGTCGGAAGTGGGCGTCAGATTCATGTTCCGATCCGTGTGCCGTCGTTCGTGCTTGATGAACTGCCGACTGACGAAACCCTCGTCCTCGGACTCGAGCTGCTCGCGCCTGTCCGCCTCCTGGGAGTCTCTTCTGTAATCATTCTCGATCCCGGAATCGGCTAATCGATCCTTGCGATCCGAATCGCTCAGCCGAGTCTCACGATGACGGCGCTCGACGTGATGTCCCCGTGTCTCCTGCCTCAAGTGCCTTGATTTGCCCTCGTGATAAGTCCTGGGTGGTCTGGTCGGGCTTTCGGTAAAGGTCTCCAATCGAGTGACCGAGGACACCTTCCTCGGGGACCATCGGAATCGTCAAAGTAATCGAGCCGATTGCGCGATCGTCGCAGCGGCTTCTTCGGATCGTCGTCCAGCTTGCGGTGTTCCTTTCTAAGTGTGCGCGAGGACGTCTCGTCGTAGCGCGTCTCGCAGCGGATGGAGTCCCTGGCGGTGGTGTCCGAGTCGTATCGGCTGGAATTGTAGCCGCCACGATCGGTGCGTATCCTCGGTGGCGAACTGTCATAATCGTCGTGAATCGGCGGTTTGCCGCCGCTCGTGTATCTCTGCGTGGTGCGCGTCTCCTTGTAATACTTACTGGACTCCAGCTGGCTGCTGGTCAGCTGCGAGATGTCGGTGTCGTAGTCGTCGTTCGGGCCCTCGCGCAGACTGTCCAGGTGACGTTTCGCGAACGGCGACCTCGTTCTGCGTCCGTTCATCGTCGGGCTGTCAAGCAGCAACGCGGTCGGTCGTCTCGCGTATCCGGCCTGGCTGCTGGTCAGGTTCTCGTGCGACCTCGTGGTGTACTCGCTCCTGAGCGCCCGCACCCTGGCGTTCTCTCCGACCTCGTCCAATCTCTGGGTCGACTTGCTCATGCCGCGAATCGACTCGAACGGCTTCTTCTTCGGCAGATACCCGTTTCGTTCGATCGGCCGATTCTCGCGGTCCAAGAAGTCGTCGCTCTTCGAGAACTTGCGCTCGTTGAGTTTCTTGGCGATGATCGGCGACGATAACTCGTTTCCTCGCGATTCGCTGCGAAAGTGATGCGTCGTTGCACCGGTGCTCTCGGGTAGATACGGCTTGTAGGAGCTGCCGCCGTTTCTCACCGCCTGGAATCTTTCTTCCGGACTGCTCCGTGCACGGTCATTGAGGAACGAATTGATGTCATCGGTGTAACCCTCGTGCGTGCGCGTCTCCACGATATACTTGTCCCCGTACTTGTCCGTCCTGGTCTCCACGGTGTAACCGTCCTTGGGTTTCGCGTCGAGGTAACCGTTCGTCGGGACTTTGTTGGTGATCTTCTTCTCGTAGCCGTAAACCTTGCCGTTATCCTCGTGTATCTCCTTCTCGAAGATGTACTTCTCGCCGTTGCTATTAGTGCGCGTCTCCGTGATGTAGGTGTCCATGTATCGTTTCGGTGACGCGATACGATTCGGCGTGACCGGCGACGGAACGATCGGTTTGTCGATTATCTCGTGCTCGCTCGACTTCTTCATCGACGCGTTGTTCTTCGCGGCGAACATCTCGTCGGCCAGCAATCTCGACTTGATTCTGGACTCCAGGAGATCCCGTCGTGCGCTCAACTCGGAAGTCTTGGGCGAGATCCCGCTTTCGTTCTGCCTCGACGACAGCTCGCCGCTGTCTCTTCGTTTAGAGTCCATCCCGTCGGCCCTGCCACGACCGGAAGTGTCCACGAACACGGTCGACGTGTATTTATCGGGCTTGTCGAACAGACGCCTATCGATTTCGTCGAACTCGTAACGCTTCGCGGTCTCGTTCGTTCTAGAGATCAAGTCCTTCGAGCTGCCCAGAGGCTTGCCGAAGAGACCGTTCTTTCGTTCCTCCTCGTACCTCGACTTGAAGCTGTTGATCTCGTTGTTGCGACGCAGATCGCTGCTGTACGAATACTCGGCTCTGCGGTACTCCTTCTCCGCCGGACTGTTCTCCCGGGAGGAGTCCTTCCTGTCGAGACCGAGGCCCTCGTCGCTGTCGGAGTGGCTCCGCTGAGCCTTCTTCTTGTCCGGCTGCACCTGCGCGTAGATGACGTTGGTTTGCGCCGGCGGTGGAGGACTGCAAGAATCGTTCGGTCTCGTGTAGGAGAACGGCCGGTTGTTGTTGTGGCCGAATCCCGGCGACGGTGACACCATCGTTCTCGGCAGCTGCGGCGGCGGCGAACGATCGTTGGACAGTCGGTGGATCATCTTGTGAATGGTGGACTCCTGCTGTTGCTGAAGATCGTAGCGGCTGCTATGTAGCATACTATCTACGCCCGCTTGATCGACCTCGTCTTTCCCGCGCTCGGGTTCCTTCAGAGGTGAAGGAGTACGGCTGGTCCTCGCGGTTTCCTTTCTCTCTTCTTCTCCGTCGTCTCTGCCCTCGACGATTATACGATGCTCGATCACCTTGGCTTCTCGGCTGGGCGATCTGTTATCAGTCGGCTCGATCGTCAGACTCGTTCGTTCTTCCTTCTTGGATTTCGTCGGCTGATTATTGTTCTCGCGCTCCGAGATGCCGAAGTGAAACGGATGCTGGTCCACGTACTGCGGCGACGTCTCGATTATCGGCGACAGCTGCTGCTTCTTCGCTCGCTGACTGACGGTGCTGAGGTGCGAGCCCTCGCTCTCGCTGCCGCTGCGCTTCGGACGAGGCCAGGTGCCGGCGTCACTCGCGCTTCGGTCAACCGGTTGTCGCCGCCTTTCCAACTTGGGCGAGAAGAAGCGCGCGAGCGGACTCTTCAGCTTCCTCGCGCCGGCATCGCTCGCGCTTCTCCCCAGCAGCGGCTTCTTCTTGGCCCGCGGGGTGCCGAGATCCGCGGTCGTAGAGCTGCCGCCGATCTCGTCGCTGCCGCGGCGAGACCTCACATCGATCGGCAGCTCCGGACGTTTCTTGTTGTTGCGGCGCGCCGGTAGGGTGCTGAAGCGACCGAGCAGATTGCGTCGGTTGTCGCGGGCCACGCACTGAAGGCTGCCCGCTTGCTGCAGGACCAGGGCCGCTTCCTGTGCGAGGTCCTCCTTGCTCCTGGCGGCGATGCTCTCCTTGCGAACCGGAGTGGCGATCAACCTACCTTCTCCATCGTTCACGAGAGCCGCGGTTACGCGCGGTGCACCACGTCCTGAAACACGAATCGTGCACGCGACTCTTTAATCGCGTCTAATGTATTTACGAACGATATTATGCAGTCGCGAGTATATAAGCCGTTTTGGGTATTTTTTTGAAGCTGGATTTGGAAAAATTCTATTTTAAGCTATTTTTAATTTATTTAAACATTTTATTTAGTGGATTTTTTTTTTGTATAACACGATTCATTCTTTTGTATTTAAAGTGAAGAATTAAAAATGATAAAAAAAAGAAATATGTGTCTGTAAAATAAAAAAAAACTAGCGTTAAAATAATTTCTTATAATTATAAATTAAAGTGTCAACGTGACATCGACTTGAATTTTCGATTCGCGTCAAGATAATCAAATAAAATTCGATAATATTCTTTTTATCTAACCGTTTCTTGAATAGAAAATAAATCGCTGTCTTGAATATCTATAGGCTTTCGTAAACTTTGATATCATTAAGATCATTGATTAACATGAGAGATAGCATAAATAACGAGATAACGAATAATATAAATTGATAATTTCACAATGTGTTGCCTAATAAATAATTGAAAATAATAATGTTAAAAAGGTCGTTTATCAAAATGAATATTTTTGTTCTAAACAGTTTTCGATTCTACATATATATATGGAAATTGGGTGTAGAATTTCTCAATTTTAAATAAAAGAGATGTGTTTGCTGTCAGTTCGATAGTTGGCAAATTCGATAAGTTAATAAATTACTTTGCGATGCTCAGCTGCGTTATTGGGCTTGTAAATCAATGATTTATGTTAAGCGAACGAGCACATGATCGTTAGATGTTAATCGAGTTTAATTAAGCGTCCGGTAGAAGCGGCTGGTTCACGTTAAAAGCTAGAATCCGACGCGTAAGAAATTGCCGTTTTTCCGTTTCAATGCTACTTCGGCTCGGAATCGGGACCGCCATTAATTCGCCACGTCGTCCGATCCGCGATCGATATAATGTTTGTAATTAACACTGTCATATTTATAAATGGGTCGCTTAATCAACAGCTCGTTAACGGCTGTGTCGGCTCCTTCGAGATTGGTGCGTACTCATTCATAAGATAACTAAAATTTCTCCTTTTTCCTTTTTAAATCGTGGATAAGGTAGAGAGAGAGAAAGGACCTATAATAATGACAGCTGAACAAGATTAGATGCTGTTTCAAATTAAAAGAAAGTATAGCGTACACTGAAAAAAATAGATTGAATTCGACAAAGTATTTATTTCAATACTGTCAAATAAATCATTTATTTGGAACTTTTATTATCGATGTGATGTGGAAAGTATTTATTTGATATAAGAAAATCCTTTTCGAAATAAATAAATATTTATGTTTCAAATAAATAATTTATTAGGCAGTATATTGAAATAAATATTTATTGATTTAATAATTTTCTTTTAGTGTACGTATAGTAATAAATAATTCTCGACAACGAAAAAATCAAGTAAAAAAAAATCTCTTTAAGTTACTGTAGCTTAAAGTTTAATTTTTTTCATGAAAAGGAAAATGCGCATTCTTCTTTGTATTTAAAAATTTCACAAGTTATATGGATATGTATTTCTCGCTTTTAAATCCTTTAGAACTCTAACATTAAATATTCTGACGAAATATATGAAAACCTCTTCACATTCCCATGTGCATTTAATTTAATTAAAATTAAAATATCTTTTCATCACGAGTTACACACTTTTGAAAGCAAATTCATCGCTTTATATTCCTTGATACAACACTTTCCGACATTAATTAAGTCTCCCACGAAATTTTCACTACAGATAAAATCAGCCTACACACGCAGACCTGCGATTTGCTCGATCTATCATTTTTATTCGCGCGGACGGTTTATCTTACATAAGGAGAAAGCATCGCGACCGTGGACGTCTTCCCACGTCTCGGATGAGCTCGGATCTCATCATGCCTTACGTGGTAGACGCTAATCGACGTTAGACGAAAATTGATTCATTATCGATCTTGTCGCGTGCATCGTCATTCTTGTCGTCGTCGTCGTCGTTGCATAAAATGCGTTAATTCCTTCGGTCGCGAATACATTCAACAACTTACTCCGCTGCCTACGTTTATGCTATTTTCGCGTTTAGCACATTCGCATCGAATAACGAAGTCCACAATGTGTATGTACATAGTAACAAGTTGAAAGAATGAAAAAGCAGATAGTTCTTTTGCGATGTAAAATAATAATAATAAAAAGAAAAGTATCAATGACAGTCTAGATGCAGTTGTAGGTGCGTATTAATTTCAATCCATCTTGAATTTTTTAATGACTAAAAAAGAAAGTAAATCCAGAATAAATTAAAATATTTGGTTGGGTTTTTTTTTATGTTTAGAGTTATTTGCAGATATTATATATGTATCTACAAATGCATCTTCGTCCTCTTATCGATTTCTTTTTCTTCTGCTTTGTGAAGAGAGTACACTATTTCCAGAAAGTTGCGTCTCTCTTTCTCTTTCTTTCTCTCTCTCTCTCTCTCTCTCTCTCTGAGAATTTGTCACTAATCATTATTTAAAACGCCGCCACACGAAAGTGCTTTTACGACCCGTATGGTCGCTCGGTTTCCACAAACACGCAATTAACAGCCTCTCGCGAAGCTTTGTCTCCTAAAGGCTTGTCCTGTCTAACGGGCTTCTTAGCGCTTAGCTAAGTTATACTGCTTTCGGGGAAACATCGTCTCGAGGAAAGAAAGGAGACAGGCTTAGAACGCGATTTCCTCGCGACCGGTCGAACGTGTCCACTGAACTTTATACATACTCTCGTGTTCTCTCGTATAAAAAAGGTGAGAAGAGGAAGAGGGAAAGAGAATGTTCTAAGAAGTAGCAGTGTCTTTTAAGCATACACGTATGTATGAAAACTTTGTACAAGCTCTGTCGAAAATTTAGTATTCATTATAACTAAGGATATTATCCTCCGTAAAGAGAACTTTCTTACTAGAATGTATATATTGAAGGAGACAACACTAGAAGGAGCTATTTTCCCTCAGCTGACATTTTGAACGCCGGAGCTTGTTACAGCACGTATAGAGCTCACTGGTCTCTCTCTCTCTGCACTACTGCGCGTTGTAAATCGTAAACTAAGACGACAAACTTTGCGTCGTTTACGAGATTCAGTGGCGCGAACCCCGTGCGACTGTCTCGTGCGGGAATGTAATCTTCTGAGATATCGTTGGATTTAATTGCGCGCAGCAAAACGGGCGAAGGACGCACTTCGCGTTTCCACTTCGCGGGCTTCCGTCGTGTAGCATCGTGTTATGTTCTCGGATCGAGATTAATAAGGCGTATAGCTCACGCTAATACCGCGGAATGCGGGTTAAAACGAGCGGAAGAGCGCGATGATTATCCGATTCTCGAGCGAGATCTCGGTTCGATCCTTTCCTGAGGATTAAACACTGTTCGGATGTATGCGGCAGAAATATTTCGCGAACGATTTTAGCGCGAAGAAAGGCTGAGATAAATAGAGGGAGAGAGAAAGAGAGAGAGAAGAAAGTGCATTAAAATGTGATGCAGATAATTACTCAGTGGCTTTAAAATTTTTCTTTTTCCCTTGTTATATTTAATGACTTCATCCTTTTCCTTTCTTAATGCGAGCCTAACTTTATAATTAATTTATAAATTATGTACTATAAAGTTTAAACATCCAATCTAAAAAATATGTCAGGAAGAAATATAAAAAAAATATATTTCTATGAAATTTGAATTGCGAATAAGAGTGAAGTAAAGTGTTCGTTATGGATTTGCAATTTTTCCATGAGAAATAAATGCGCTGAAAAAATATGAAAACCACTTCGAATGAAACCAAGCACTGATATATGGGCACATCTTCATGATTATACCCAAATGCTTTCAATTACGGACTTGTAAATTTGCCGTAATATCAGCTTATTATTTACCGGTTCAACAGATTGTTTATGTTTCCTCCTATGGTTATCCCGTGGGATGTGTTACCGTTCACAACACTCACTCAGCGTTGCTAATGTCATTTAATGCAATACCACGAGCGACCGTTAACGAGATGTAATCATTGTGCTCGACTGACCGATTGATATTCAGGGGCATCGTAAAGTTGATTTAATTATCACGACATTAGCGCGAAGATCTTGCACTAGGGGCGCGTTACATGTACGTTCGATGAATTCATGATGGAGAACGCGCGTTATCCTGTATGAGACATGTCATTACGGTATCGCGTTGTTAGCCATCGTTCAAGTTCCCGTCACGAGTTGCAGGACATTCTGATCGTCGGATCATCTAATCGGAGCAACTTGGTTTGTTGGTTTTTCAAATTGTCGAGATTATGATAAGTTCTTCAAGTTTTTCAAACCTTGAAAATTCTTCGCAATTGTCAGTCCTTTTTCTTAATTCTCAGAATTGTGAAGCCTTAAATCGTGTAAAATTTCAAACTTTTAATTTTTTTTTAAATGAGATCTTTTGAATTTTCTAAGATTCTTAGATAATTAAATTTTCAGATTTTATAAGATCTTGAGATTTTTCGCTAGGTCCTAATTTTTTAAATAATTAGACATATTGATTCTCAAAAATCTTTAGAATTTGAAATTTTTAGATTCAATACACGAGTTACCACATATACTTTCAAAATAATTTCATGCTTTTGTGAATTAATATATTCAATGAGTATTTTAATTAATTTTTCCTCGATAGTTATATATTCTGGTGCAAATTAAAGCGTAAATAGTTTATATGTTAATTACGTCTTTCAATTTCTCAGGAAAAGAAAAGCTACATTCGAGAAAGTTTCGTTTGGCACTTTTCCTATCTGAATGAAAGTACATTATTCATGCCGTCAATGTGAATGTTTTCCACTGAAAGAAATTCATCCACGGTATGTGTTGAAACGGGCCACCGCAGTCGATTCTCTTGATTATGCTTGACATTCTCACGAATTGTTATCTTTTAAAGGCGTGCACTGTCGCCATTCTCTCGACTACATTCTGAGAACGTTGTACAATGAATATAAAATAATCATATTTGTGCAAAT